GAAAGGTTCACCCTCTGGGAAGGATGTGCTTTCCCAGTACAGTCATCTGTGGCACTAAAGTAAAAATCACTTAGCCTTAAATGTAGCTTAAAACATTTTTTCCATATTTTTTTCCTAAGATGAAGGACAGAAGGTGACATGTTGTGTTGTATAGCGCAGATTCATAATGGGAACAATAACAGAAATCCACTTGGCCCCTCCGTTTTCAATGTAACACAATGCACTGCAGAAGCAGCAGGAATTTCACTGCACAAGTTACCGTCACAGTGACCATCCCTGAACACCAAGTACCAGCCACTGTTAGGAGCTCGTTATGCTGAGTACACAGACTACACTAAAAGGCTCACACACAGAGTAAACACTGTGTTCACACGCCGCACCGTCTGCCTGTGAGGCTGGCGATCGAGCCCATTTCTTGATGCAGTTGAGGTGGAAGACGTGGAAGCAGCTCTGACAGCTCCACACCGGCGCCATGACCCGGATCACGTCACAGCACACCATGCACTCGTATTTCTCCTCCGACAGCTGTTCAATCAGACACCCTGCGGAGGAAGAGATCAGAGGTTCAGAAGATGGCAACAAATACTTCGTTTCCACCCACAGAGCTTTATCCAAAACTTTCTGCTCGTATGTCCTTTAGTTCACTGACAGACTCATCAATAATTCAGGTTGCTTCCAACCAAACATCCTAAGATTTTTACACTAAGTAAGCACTATAAAACATGGGCTTGGGCTTTTTTTGAGCTTGATTTGCATTTTTAATTATTTTCTGCCCTTTTTACAGACAAAATAATCAATAAAACATAACATTAAACATTGGTTTCAGGCCCAATATTAAAACTAACTGAACTAGAGCTACTAAAAAGGGACAAAAAAATCCTCCAAAAACAACCAAAAAGGAACGTTTTCTGCAAATATAGTGAATATGAAATACTTAACAGCAAAATACGGGGAAATTTGAACTAACTTATGTTAGTTTGTTAGGAAACCAGGTTTCCTAAAAAAAAAAAAAAAAAAAA